GCTTTGACAACTAGAACAAACTAGAAAATGGTTTCTACTTTTTGCAGTCTCGAAAACCGTGAATTTAGCCACACTAACTGCCGCTTAACCCCCAGGTAGGTGGAGAAAGGTTCGAACTTGTAACCCAGCTATAGGAAGTGGAGTACCTGAATCAATAAGCCACAGCTCCTCATTATTCACTCTACTCAGTTTCAGAATTAAAATCACATATTTATACAACTGAAAATTAATTGTTTATTGTGAATCGATATTTGTTTGATATTTTGAAAATATGAATGGCTTCAAGGTTGTTTTAGCCAAGGAAAGATGTCAGTCATCTTAAGGAACCATTGAAAGCAAGGAAAGAATGGGCAGTTATATCGACAAAATTTAAGCAATTTCATAGAATCTCATGCGGAGAAGGAGTGAGTTTGAGAACTTTAAGTTACGAGGTAGGGACACAAATATGCAGCCAATAGAATTAAATCGAATAGCTCGTGATTTCTAAATTCTGCTTTCAAACTATTCAGCATATTATCAACACCGATTTGGAATTAATCGAATCCCCTCTCCAAATCCAGTGATTTGATTGCTATCCATTGCTTATCAGTTGCCAACTTCAATGTGGACTCCTTGAAGTCTTAATAAGGAACAATGACCAGTGGGGTATATCAAGTGGATTTATACGAAGATACTCACCGATGACACTTAATGCCACTGCAATTTGGTATAAACAGGATTCATTATATCCTAGCTAAGTAATGGTTATAGACAAGAACTGCAACAAAAAAGGGTGAGACAGTTGTCCATTACGTTCTGGTATTCAACGCTTTTTCTAGCTCATTTAGGTTCGTGACAATACCGACTTTGATAACAGTGGTTGACTGACATACCACGTTGTATTCACCTTCATACAAGTCGACTATTGAGTGGCAGTTCACTGCTCTATTTACTGTTACAAGAGATGAAATATGACTGCTCAGTTATGCATCACGACACGCTAACTAACTGTAACGGAGATGTCGCCTACACGCTTAAATATTCAGTCTAAACCTAGTAGTTCTCGGCCTTGTCTCCTGTCCCGCCTACGTCAGCTTAGACAACTTGGGGTAGTGTTACTGACCCTCACAGAAATCGTGTGACACGTGGCCTGGTAGCCAAAAACCCGGTTACAACCAACTGTGTAAGCATACAAATAAACAGTATTTAGTGAAAAGGTGAACTGATCAAACTAAATTCAGCACAGCTAGATCTAACAGTCAACAAATGACATTGAATTTAAACAGGCTAGGCGACAAATGATAAACAGTCGATAGCATGTTTTAGAAATAGAATTGTAACACCAAAGTGTGCTGTTAATGGCAAGCAGAATTTCAACAACTTATCATTTAACCAAAAATAGTATAATATATATCCAAATATTGTCAGTTTATATAAACAAAATAAAGGGTAAACAACATAGAAAACCTAAAGGTGACTACCTGTAACTTTTTTTTTATATTATAATATTTGTAAACAACAAAATGAGTGAGTCAGGTTAGGTTGTATAGTCTAATTTTATGTAAATAATATTATGATGAAATTTCAATGCAAGTCAATCACATGACTTGGTCAATATTTTGCTGAAGAATGCTGCATCCAGGCTTAATCAAAAAACATTATGAGAATTCAGACAATCACCTTCCACCTTAGAAAACAAGGTATTCAGTCTACACCAACAACAAGGACTAGAAACATGACACTTGTCACCTTCCCAACCAACTAGTGTTCAATCAAAATATCTAATACACTCCTACAGGAGGTGAATTGAATCTTCAACCCGAATAGCTCGGTGGTGACGTTCAAGGTTCAAGGTTTCCAACCTATTACCTCCAACCATCTAAGAACTATTCAGTCGAATTTTAGATTTTCCCGTAGATTGTTTGCATCGATGTGCTCGGTCTCAGGTTGTCATGTCGGCTTCTTTGTGCAGATGCTTCGACGATGTCTGGGCATGTAACACTTTGGCGTTTGAAGCTATGGGTACTGGTTTCGAGCCTGGGTGGGAATATCATCACTCACTGGAGAATGCAGGCACATCCGGTTGACGAGTCCCAAATAGGACGAAATGTGAATCCTAGATTCCACTGTTAGTCACCATCCACCAATTAAACATCTAAGAACTATACTTTAACTAGTTGATAGTATATATTACTGATAGATATGAGTAACTAAAAGCCGATAATGTTAAACTGTTTTAAGCGTCAACAGAATCGCCTGACTTTCTTAGGCGGCATATGGGTCTAAAAAATTGTTTTCAACTAGTGAGTCACAGGTTCGATTCTTACCCCAGCATTCGAAATTTGTGAAGCTTGATAACAATGCAAGGTGAAATACATTCATAGCTACAAAGTCATAATGGATTTCGCTCGGTGTTTTCTAAACGCTGATATAATGACGTTTAGTGCTGAAGGTAACATCAAGCTTGGAGACGAAATGTTGCAGATGAAATACCAAAGCAAGAACATTAAATAATTTTCAAGTTTATTAGTTTGTATATGAAAGAATTTCTGAATTACATGGGTTGTAATCAAATTAGAATGTATCATAATCGTAAGACATCTCATGAATATTATCATCTGAATAACCACAGAAGTCATGTCATCAAGAGTTTCTATCCACATGAATTTTGAGAATTACTAGGCTATTAGACATTTGGTCTACAATTCCCTTAAGTGGTTACGTCTAAGAGGCAATAAATTCATGAATTTATCTTATAAAAACATGTCCAACTCTTTTCCAGTCTTAGGTCAACTTCAGCTAACATTAATCGGTAAAGAAGGCGGTGACTGACTGACTGGTTTCACAGATGTGCAGCAGTTCGAGTCGCCACACTTTACTCCGCACACAAAGCAAGAGAAGAAAGCAAAAAGAAATGCAAAACAGAGACAGTAAACAGAGATATGAGGCAAAAAGAATAGTAATATCGAAGAAGTTTATTTGGGTATCATATGTCACAGGGAGTGGATGCATCTGCGCCATCATCGAGAAAATTTCGAGCCATATCACCGACTGTCTCCAGACTACACTGGTTCTTACCATCCCGAAGACCCCAAATGGAAAGTCTACACCTTCCTACGTGGTTTAAACTAATTGTTGTGGATTTCATTGACTGATGAGACCATGTTTTGGTTTGACCACCACTGGCTAACTCTTTCCCAGCCTGACCCTATGTCAACTAACATTGCTCGTCGAGGAAGGCAGTGGTTCGCCTTTATAATCTTATCAATCGAATTAACCATCTCCTAAATAACACTTAACGTTTAACCCCAATACTACTCACCATGTTGCTCTGTCTAAGAAGTGAACAGCAATCAATATAAGTATAAGGGAATAATTGTTTGGAAAGTCCCTCTTGATATACATTATTGATACTTACATTTTAAATAAGTCCCTAATTACTTTCCTCTCTTCTCCTAGGCTTTATATCACTGTCCTCAAATTGCATGCGATCTGTTGACTTTGTCCTTATTGTTTGTCGTTGTCACTATTTAATCTCTAATTTTAATGCCTGTCTTTGTGGTTGTGTGTTGTTTTACGACTGTGATTCTGTTTGAATGAATCAAGGTGATTTTGATCTTCGGCTGCCTGCGAGAATTACTGGTATGTGATTCTTGTAGACAAAGTTTTGATCTCAACTTGTTGAGTATATTCTCTTTGATTCTCAGGTACTTCTTACGCTTGAATTTTAAATAACTAATTCTGTTCTAAAGTACTCTTTTTGGACTAGAAACTGGTGTGGCCGGTATAGCTGCTTAACAGCATTGCAGACGACAACAGATTCGACTGCGAATAACCGTCTTCTTGTTGTCTGCGTAGTGTTTTGTCTTTGTGCGTAACTCGAGGACGGTTTGGTCAGCCATACAGTAGAAAGCAAATATCTGTGTCCACCATTCAGCTCACAGCAATTCGGTTTTGGTAGCTACATATAATATTATCAATGATCACTTCATTAAATTAAAAACACTTAAAGACCTTGATGAGGATCAACTTTTTGATTTGAATGAGTCAGAGATAACGTGTTCATCAACAGACCTGACGAACTCAAACACGAGATTCCATAGAATTTGGTAGATGAAGAGTGTTTCGATATGTTTGCTTTCAAATGATCCCCTAAATCGTTTCATCGTGTGAAATATTTCGATATCATGAGATGGTTGGAAGCCTTGGCTTTAGGTTTCGTGCTTGCCGGCAGTCACCAGTCACCAAGGCGTATCTGCATTCTTGAAGGAACTCATATCTCCCCTGGGATTCGAACCCACGTCATCCAGTGCTACAGTCACAGACGTGATCACCAAGCTATTCGGGTTGAAGATTAACCACCTCCTGTTGGACTGTATTAGATATTTTGATTGAACACTAGTTGGCAGGTAGGTGGCTAGTGTCATGAATCTAGTCCTTTGTTTTGGTGTAGACTGAATTCTACCAGTCAGGTTTGCAATGTGGCCACCATTCTAGGTAGCTCGTCATCACGGTGCACATTGATTTGATGATATTAGATCGTTGGAGGCAATCTAATATCATCGAATCAATGTACACCGTGATGGCGAGCTGCCTAGAATGATGACCATATTGCAAACCTGACTAACAGAATTCAGCCAGCACCAAACAAAACCTAGATACATCACATTAATTACTAATGTCCAATCAAAGTTTCCACTACAGTCCTACAGGAGGTCAATAGCGGTCTCAAATAGCTCAGTGGTAACGTCTCTGACTGCAGCTCTCACTGGGTGACGCGGATTCGAATCTCAGAAGGGACATGAATTCCTTCAAGGTTGCAGGTACCCCTTGCTGACTGGTGAGTGCCCACTAGTACGAAATCTAGGTCAGGTAAGGCTTCCTATCTAATATCATCAAAACATAAATTATACCGGTTACATATGATAAACACTAAACACCAAATGAAATAGCAGCACAGAAATGGATTAAAAATCGATATTTACATTTTATTCCAATATACAACATTATAGAAAACTCACCTTATTTACAAGTGCCATAATCATATTCACACGATAAACCAGTTGATCATATTGTCCACGAAATTCAGCAGCCTTTAAAAGCAAGTAATAAGTATCTTTAATAAGAAGCTTAGTGACCAATCGAGAATAGACAAAACAAATGAGAATATTAACAAAAACGAGAAGAATAAGAAAAATAAACTCTTCTTAATTTGAAGAAGTAATTGTCTCTTCAACTAACTATAATTTTATAATAAGAGATATAAGAATAATTCACACAAATAAGTAATCAAGTTCAGTATCAATCACGCAAAGTTGAGTAGATCTACACAACTCACAATAGTTAAGAGAAACACCAAGAAATTCAATTGTACAGTCTTGTCTTTATACGAAACGGTTATTCATCCGTAGTAAGCCTGTCTACCGGCTGCAACATTGATATGCAATGTAACTTGATTTTGGACAAATAGAAGTTGATTAGAAGACGTTTTAGATTTAGAGGTCTATGTTTCGTCAGTACCTCGACTCACCGACGTTTGGACAACCATGCAGTATCACAAGTCCTTACAATACTGTTAAAATTCAGTTATGCAGAACAGACTTTTCATGTAGCAGGGTGGGAATCACACTTATTGTGTAAGAGGAGGTAACTCGCCCCAGTTGCCTAGAATGAAGTCAGTGGAGCTGGATTCGAACCCGAGACCTATTGACCAAGATTCCAGTGCTTAAGACAATGAGATATACCTCTACTGCTTCCAAACAATAGCTGTGACTTATCGCCAACTGTATAGAGATGCAAGTGACTGTCTAGTGTCTACAAACTGCCTAAGAAGAAGTATTTCGAATCGTTAGTAAATCTGATATTCATTTAGGGGGAGGGGGACTTTTCCATTGAAATAATCAGACCCCAACTAACTTCTGAACGACTAATTGGTACCAACATAAATGACAGATTCCGACCAATAAGTTTAGAATCGAAAAGAGGCAGTCAATTGTTAACCAGTTACCCATTAACATGCAATGCAGTACTCCAAGAAGTCGTTAGCAATCTGGGTACCCCAAACTTCGATTAGTGAAGCAGCACTGGAACCGACTTTCCAGTGATCAGAAAGTCGACAGCCTAGTCCAATGAGCTGCAGTTACACAGATACTTAGGTTATGTAATCACAAAAACCTATCAAGATATTTTGCATAGATCAGATAGTTGTACCAGAAGCACATTACTGTAATCTTGAGAGTAAATAGTTTAGACCACTGTGTTCAGCAGTATTAATTACAAGGAACACTAGTCAACTTTTGATTTCTTCTGATTAAATTTTACAACCGTTTTCAAACCCAATAGACGTAGGACAAATTACAGTAGTTTACGAATCTTCAGAGATAAACTGAGATGTTATGATCAAAATATAAACAGGTTACATCTAACCTGACCATCGGTTAAGTCATGCAGATAAATCAAGCGTCAGATATAGAAAAATATTTCCTACTTTTTTTTCATTGGACACTAGTAACTAGTGTGATGTGTCTAGTCCTTTGTTTGATGCAGACTGAATTCTATCAGCCAGGTTTGCAATGTGGCCACCATTCAAGATAGCTCGTCATCACGGTGCACATTGATTTGATGATTTTAGATAGTTGGAGGCAATCGGCCGGAAGCCTTCGACCTAGGTTTCGTGCTAATTGCCACTCACCAGTCAGCAAGGCGTATCTGCAACCTTGAAGGAACTCATGTCCCTTCTGAGATTCGAATCCACGTCACCCAGTGAGAGCTGCAGTCAGAGACGTTACCACTGAGCTATTCGGGCTCGCGACTGACCTCCTGTAGGACTGTAGTGGGTATTTTCATTGGACACCTGCCGATTGCCTCCAACTATCTAACATTTCCTACTTTTATCGATACATTTATGTCATAAAACATCCATTTATCTACAACTAATGTCAATACAATGACACCTGCCTTTTGTAAATTCAGCAGTCAAAGAAAAACTGATCAAAGTCATTGAACGAAGCATGCAAGTGTAAGTATGATAAAGTATTACTAAAGACTAATTCTGCGTTTATCACAACAAAACCCTCTTTGCGGAATAGTAGTTCTCTTATTCATTTACTACATATTTATACCCTTAAACAGTAATAATCCTTTTGAGTATGGATGAAATGAACTAATTTTTCTCTATTTTTTATATTCTACGAAAAAAAACCAGCGAGTTATCGGTTTAAGACTCACTGTACCACATGGCAGAGTTCGCTTCTACTTGAAATGCTTATTTTAGATTATCGTAATTTCTCTTTTTTGTTTTTGATAGATTCACAATGATAACTGTCATTGTTAACCTTAAAATCATGATTGATGCAATCAACTAGATATTGATTATTTATGGTTTAAAACTCTCTTTATGTGTAAAGAATAATTTACTCTGTATTGTGAATAGTAAGGTTGTTGTTGTAACAGTAAGTTCGATTTCTGTGTCTAACTCACTCAGTGTTGGGGAGTATTTCCAAGCGATCAGTTGTCTGGAGGAGCATTATAGTCAAGTTAGACAACAGCCAACACATGACAAAAAAAGCGGAAAAGGACTACTCACTGTCCGTGAACAAGAAGCCCCTTTATATATGGCTGAAATTAAAGGGCACTATACCAAGTGACATAATTAAGAAGAAATTAAGAAAATCAGTTCAAAGAACTTTTAATGCTGGTGAACTACACGTCTTATTCTCTACACGAGCGGTGGTGATGCCTCAACTGAAAGATGAAGTACCTAGTCTAGCCACTGTTAATTGCATCTACCAGTTCAACTGCGCTTGTGGTGGAGCGAGTTATATTGGTCGTTGCTCTAGGAACTTGATTTTTCGTGCTCACTTGAGAATGTCTCCCACCATGGTTAAGTAAACGTGTAGTGAAAACCATTAACAGTTCGATATTGGACCATCTGGTGCAAACTGACCGGCCACAAAGCCAGTGTTGGAGAATCCTTCTCTATCATCTATCGGGTGCCTAATAAATTGCCAAAGTCATCGAAGCACCGCATGCTCCAAACAGCAGAGGCTATTGAAACTCGTCTCAAACAACCAGTGCTCGGTGTGCAAAAGAAGCAAGTCCAGCCCGTACTACTACCCTGGCCTTCAGTGCAAACAATAAATTCATGAATTTGTAATATAATCTTTCCTAATTTTTCTGACATTCAGCTTATTTTATGTTCATGCTATTGAACTGTAATCTAATTAATATTATTGATTCGATATTATTCAAACAACATTAATGTTGTTCATAACACTAATTCATTCATTTACTATAATGTATATGTAACTGCAGAGCCTGATGATGAAGAGGATATCTAAAAGAGTATTCTTTGTTCAGTATCCATTCTTTTGAAAAACAGTAAACACTCGGTCACAACATCAAGTAAACAGCTTTCTCTATGATGGTAACTGCTATTGATGTAACCGCTATCCAACTAACTTTTCCGAATTGTTGCAGCTCCATCAACGGAGACGACTAGGACATGTGTTGCGCATGCTGAGTCACCAATTTCCACGAAGAGTAATATCGTCTTAAATTGGGTTAGACTAAAAAAGTTTTTAGGGTGGTCATATCAAAACATGACACCAATCCGTCATGTCACTGACTATTGGTTAAAGCCACATAGGGAGGCTTAGATTGCCTGGCTTCTGTTGTCAGTATGTCAGGAATCAGTTTCTAGAGACTGTTGATGATATGGTCGGAAGCTACATGCATTGATTCAGTTATTTTCACTGATTGTCATCATTCAGATTCTCAAGCTTATCTAGTTATTTCCTCTCCAGTTCACATTCACAAATTGTGGTTTCTCTGCATTTCCTTTCTCCACTTTTGCTGGGCGACCTGAACTGACTCACTTGTGCACCCCTCTACATTGATAAGTCAATTATGTTGATGTTTCACAATGATACACTTGACAAAATGGAAGATTGTTGGGAATGTTTACATTTCAGGTAGTAAAGAGCAGTTATATCGAAGCTCTTGATATGGATTCGATAATCTGATGATAGGTTAACCTAAAACAGTCAATAACTTCTAGCTTTGGTGTCATGCCTTGATTTGATCATCGACTATTTTCCAGTTGAATTCTACTTTAGTCAGTATGTTTTAACTGAGTAAGACTGTGGTTTCACATGTGTAGCATATCCTAGCTATCTGAAATGATGGTTTATCACAACTTTACTGTCTGACTCATATTACTTTAACAATAGCTTTATATTAAATCTAAAAACCTCTTAACATAGATTCCTACCTAAAGTAAGCAACCGGGAGAAGGGGGATTATTATCTGTTAATATCATCTGTTTTCCAAGAACATTCTACATAGCCCCAAAGTAGGACACATTCACTCTGATGGATAACTGCATATTTCTCCTGTAACACCAAACAATAAAAGACGTTGAATATGAAATGGAGCTCCCGTATTCGCGCTGAAAGCATTATTCACCGGCATATAATATCAAGTGTACAGAAAGTGTAAACAGTTGAAGGGTTTGTGAATTTAATCAGTCGCAATTTCTTTACCACAGATGTCTGTGTTAATCAGTCGAATGAATAATATTTTACAGCCAAATTTAAAAAAAAACTTACCAAAGTTTCATCGACAACCATAAATAATTCCATAATGTATGGTTCTGTTTCACCTGGCCGATGGACAGCACGCACTGTATCCAAAGTTGGCTAAAAGACAAACACACATGTAAAGAGTAACAAAAGGATAGTGAACAATACACATTTTATACATTCTGTTCCCTTGATAAATTTCAATAGAGAAAGAAAGACTAGATTTGCAGCATAAAATTATATCATCATTCTATTTCACAAGTTCTCATCAGCTGCACACCACTACGTGAAATTACTAATGGTTATAAATAATAACATTTCATACTTCAATGTTTGAAAGGTAATAGAGAAAAAATTAAGCTACCATCAGTCTATAAGCTATCAAACTATGAAAAAAGGCGGGAGTGAGAGAAGACAGAAAACAGAAAAATCTAATAAACAGTGTTAGCTTGTACGTCAACATGGCAACTCAAGAAGGGTAAAGTTCATCAAATTGAAACCTTGCTTAGTGAGCTGAGCTCACTAGTGTGTATGACTGATCATTGTAATTAAAGTAATACGGTTACCAAGGGAGTTAGAGATTGACTACACTCTTTCTCTTTCTGTGTGCATAAGTTTGGTCTAAGACGTTTGACTGCAAGTGCTTCATCAAGTCGTAGTAAATCCGCTGTCCTTTATATATCCAATATTTTGAAGGATTTGGAAATCTCAACAAAATGACCCGTATCCACAAGGTATCTGGTAATTGCACTTTATAAATATCTGCTTCCTTTTAAGCATAAGTTTCTTGGAAAATGGTCTGAAAACCGGATAGAAGACCTTTCTGCCCTTTCAATGTACTTGCTGCCACGGGTGCACGTAAATTTATAAATGCAGATGGAGGTAGCATCAGTAGGGTACTTATGCAGTTTCGATTGGCTTATAGACCATGTAGTGCTGTATAGTGTAACCAGCTTAACTGCAGGGAAGCATCTCTTTATTGCTCCTTTCATCCTCTTGTCAATCTTTTGTGATGCTGCTTCTCCTTTGTATGGGAGGCAAATGAACACTTTCTTCTTTTCAACTGTTGGATACTTGGCTTTTTCATCTTTTCCTCTGCTGTACTTTAGGATAAATTCCTTTGGATACCCGTTTGCCCTAAGGCATTTTCAATATTTTGATAGCATGTAAATTGATGTTAACTTAAACTAAAAATTGTCATACTAATATTCCGGATGCGTTCATCTTATAATGTTTTCTCTATTACCTTTCAAACATTGAAGTATGAAATGTTATTATTCATAATCATTAGTTATTTCAGGTAGTGGTGTGCAGCTGATGAGAACTTGTGAAATAGAATGATGATATAATTTTATGCTGCAAATCTGGTCTTTCTTTCTCTATCGAAATTTGGAAACTACTTCAACACTACTGAGGGCCTCATATCTTTATCAGTGTCATTCAACAGCTATAGGACAATGCCATATGTCATCCACAACGACAAATTTAGCCAAGTCTTTGAAGTGAAGACTGGAGCAAGACAAGGCTACCTACCATCACGGAAGATATTCCTCATTGTCGTGAACTGGATTATGCAGCACAAAGTGCGTGGGAAGCGAGAAGACAGGAATACGTTGAACCGTTAACAGGCTTCTAGAAGATCTGGATTTCGCGCATGGATGAATTATGTCTAATGTCACACAAGCTCGAAGACTCACAGGTGAAAACCAACAAACTGGTTGGAGAAGTAGGAGGTGAAAACACAACTTCAAGTGACATAGAGAAAACGAAGGTGGTGAAGATAACCAGCTAGCAATAACAACAAGCACCTATCATTACCGATGGAAGGTATCTGAGGGAGGTCATTTTCTTCACTTATCTGGGAAGCATCGTTTCAACTACAAAAAGAGGCACAGATAAGGATGTCAAAACAAGAACTGGAAAGAAAGCCGAGACCTTAATCATTCTGAAATCGGTTCAGAAATCTGCACTCAGTCACCACAAGGAATAAAATTTGGATTTTCAACACCAGTATCAAGATAGTCAGTCCTTCTGTATGAGTTAGAAACTTGGTTTTGACAGCAAGAAAAGCATTTCGAAAAGCCAAATGAAGATCTTTATCAGTAACTGTCTTTTCTGGCTCCATAATGAACATCAGATGACCAGGAACAGCTAGCAACATAAAACACTAGGAACGAACCATTCAGGAAACTATCTCTCAACAAATATGACAAAGAAAATGGAGATGGATAGGTCACATGTTGAGGAGACTATTGGAGGAAATCGATCCCCAGGTCATCGTTCTAGTGGAACCTGAATGGAAAACGATGATTTCGGCCTGTGTCCGAGAGTGACATGAAGAAGATTGTGCAAAGAGAGAGAGAGAGAGGGAGATAATGGAGCCACCTGAAGAGGACCTCAGAGAACAAAACAAGATGGAGATGTGCTGTTGAAGCACAATGTTCCACTAAAAACCCAAGGGAATAATAATAACGTTAGGTTAGTACACTGTGCAACAGTTTGAGTTATCTTATTCTAGAGCAGAAAGAAAGTACAATTTGAGGCAAACAACATGATAAACATACAGGTGTTCCGAAGACTTTGCAGTTAGATGTGGAGTTATTCACACGTTGGGTTAGTTGATTGGTAGGCTTATGAAAATATGTTGGCGCATAATTCGGCTGGAAGAAATATACTTGTATATATGGGTCTGAGTGTTTATCTATCCATGAAATATCCCATGAATACTTTGTTACATTATAACACAACTACGATTTCACCTCCATTACTTTGCATCACATGTAACTCTGACTGACATCTTATATTTTAGGGTGTCTTATGACCCCCTAAGAAGGTGACTTCATTTCCTTTCCGCCGTTATCGCAGCCACTTGACAATTCCTTATTATGTGACTAAAAGATGATAAGGTCTGTGCATAATCTTACTACAAAAGCTGGTTATGACTATCATAAAATATTTAATGCAAGTGAGATTTTATCAGAGACAGATATAAGAAGTTAATCACTGAAAACTAGCAAGCACTGAATAGCTTCCCCTTCTTAATTAGGCACTCTTTAGCAGTATGCACCCATAACCCCACCAGGTATCGAACCCAGAAGCGTGAAGGTCCTGTGTTAACGAGGTAAGGATGTTACAATGGGGTCACTGGGATTGACTGATATTTTTGACTGACTGATTGACGCAGTGGCAATCAGCTCTCTATCTCAACTTGACAGCGTCGATCGAGAGGTGATTTGGAAACTACTTCGCTACTACGGGGTGCCGCCAACAATTATACATCTCATACAACAGATGTACGACAATGCTGCGTGCTAAGTAATCCACAACAGGAAACTCACGGAATCCTTCAAAGTGAAGACGGAAGTAAGACACGCTGGCTGGCTGCCTACTATCTCCAGTGATTTTCCTGATTGCGGTAGACTGCATAATGCAACAGGGAGCGGACAGCGATGAAACAGGCGTAAAATGAACCCACACAAAAAACTTGGGGGATCTGGACTTTGCTGATGATATATGTCTAATCTCCCACAAACTGGAAGATGTGCAAGTGAAAAGCAACAAGTTGGCAGAAGAAGCATCCCGAGAAGGTGAACATAGGAAAAACAGAGGTGAAGATTCGTCGTCAAGAGCAACAACAACAGACAACAATCAGCGTAAATAAGAGAAATCTGAAAGAAGCAACCTCCTTTACCTACCTATGTGGGAAGCATCGTTTCAACTACAGGCGAACGGGATTGATGAGGATATCAAAGCAGCGACAATCGGGAAAGCAAGTCAAGCTTTCATTTCTCTCAAGTCTATGTGGAGGTCAACAGCACTCAGCATCAAAAATAAGATCGGGATTTTCAACCCCAATGTTAAGTCAGTGCTACTTTACGGATCAGAGACTTGGCGCGTCATGAAGAGCACTTAGAACAAACTACAGACCCTCATCAACAGCTGTCTTCGCACAACACAACTCAGGATCTGATGGCCAGAAAAGATCAGTAACAGGAATCTCTGGAAACGAGTTAACTTAAAACCAACTGTGCAGCAAATATGCAGGAAGAAATGGAGATGGATTGGACATAATCTGAAAAAACCATCAAGTGACATCACAAGACAGGCCGTCGAGTGGAGCCCAAGTGGGAAGAGGCGAGTTGGTCGTCAGTGCAAGGGTGACATGGAGGAGGTCATGTGGAGAGGAGATAAAAGCATGTGGGCAGACGTGGAGCCAGGTGAAAACGTTGTCAGAGAACCGAACGCAATGGAGACGTGCGGCTGAAGCCCTATGTTCTTTTATGAACTAAAGGAAACAATAATAATAATAACAATAATTGATACAGTAAGCGCAGTAAATGAGACTTAAGCGACCCTGGTACAACAACAGTATTCAACAGGCTAAACAACTTAACCTGCTGAAACGTCTGACGTACATGAACATGTGAACTACACGCATACACACACAGTATCACGTAATACAGCAGTTTTATGCATGTGATGACATAAAATAACTCTATATATTGCCTGAGTTAATAAAACTTAACGAAATGTTTTAAGCTACGATTAATAATATATCATGAGAAATATCTTCAGAAAATAAAAATATTCAGGCAATGTAAACTAGCCGAATGATGATGATGACGTAGAAGATGAAAAGGCACTCACAGTGTTTGTCGGTACTTCAGTAGATGCTACAGAAAGCAAAAAGAAAGAAAGAAAAAAAGTAGGAGAACAGGTGAGTGGAAAACTATAATTATTCATATTTTAAACAAATAGATAGATGACTTTAATATGGTGCTAACAAAATACTTATTATTCAATAATTTAGATTATTCCCATTAAGATAATTTTAGAATACGAATAAAGCAAGCAAATACGTGTTTTCGGTAAATTCCTATCTGGGATTAATACAATATTACATAATATCATTCATAGACATTTGAAAAAATGCGCATCCATAGAATCAAATATAATCGAGAACAATGTAAGTAGAATAATGACAGTAGTAAATTGTGAAGCTTAGATTAAAATATGTGCCAACCATTGGACAGTATATTTAATTCAGTTTTAGATTTTCCCGTCTACTGATTGAACCAAAGTGCTTGGTTTCAGGTTGACATATCGGCTCCACTAATGACCTTCTAGATATATGCTCAGACATTGTCGAAGCATCTGCACAAGGAGCCGAAATGTCAACCTGAGACCGAGCACTTCGGTTCAATCAGTTGACGGAAAGATCTGAAATTGAATTAAATAATTAATATGACCCGTTGCACAAGAGGTAGCTCTCTTGTGGCGCAAGTGATCTAGTGGATAACGCTTTGGCGTTTGAAACTATGGGCACTGGGTTCGAGCCTCGGTGGGAACATCATCACTCACTGCTTGGGGAATGCAGGTACATCCAGATGACGAGTGTAAAATAGGACGAAATGCGCATCCTGGATTCCATTGCTAGTTACCATCCACTAATTAACTTACAGCACAGTAAATTATTGATAAGGCAGTTATCTGGTGTCACCAGGATAACTATTCTAGATTGAGAGTGAAGGTTGTGGGGGGCGAGGGGTGAGGGACTGAAGAAACACAAAGATTGGGCTGAAAATTTGTTACAGCAACTGTCTTAGCTATGCTTACCAATCGGAAGATTACAAATCTAGGGAATTGAGGTGACATCTTGTATAGAATAGTAAAGGCGGAATTTTTGTGATCCGTATCCAAAAGGTGTGCCAACATGAAATTCCAAATTGAGTTTACGACTTCTTCACCTAACCATGTTGGATAATGCTCAGGAACTTTCAGAAGAAACCATGATAGTGAGTGAAGAAATAGTTTACTTTTCAAACCGGATTCTAGTCAGTTGCCCTACATTAATATAATATACGTAGCAATTTTATTACAGTTTCCGGATTGGTCATGAAATTACTTCAGTTAGATGACCACTGGAAACCGGGGAGTAACGGACGGTAACACAAGACCTTGAGGTTACAAGAGGAGCTCGTGGAACATCAAGTCAACGGGACGGACTCCAAGGGTTAATTAGAAATATATAGTATGACCAAAAGTCCAAATTTTCGGCGAATATTCGTTCTCATACCCACTGGATTCTGTCCCAATGGTTAAATCTTCAACGAGCCAACCTTGTAAGCTAAAGGTTTTTGGTTCGATCTGCGGTGGGATCATTGGGTGCAAACTGCTAAAGACACCGAAATAAGGACAAAACACCTATCCATTACTCCTTGGTTTCCAATGGTTCCTCAACTGAAGTCAGTTCGTAATCAACCAAATCCCTGCAAACCAACACTTGAAAATGTATTACATACAAGCAATTTATCAGTCTAATAGTGATAATTTCATTTGGTTGATAGTGACTAGTAGTAGAATCCAGTTCTTCCTGCTCGGTACTGATCAGCTGAATGTGTTTACCTGTATTCCCAATGGAACTCGAATCCAGCATTCATCGTTTCCATCAACAGGAAATTCAAATTAACCCAGACAAATAACAACTGGTATCTTTTGTACAAGAGATGGTTGTCGTTGCCCAGTCGTCTATAAAATAACTCTTTGGCATTTAAAACCATGGGTGTTGAGTTCGAATCTCACTGGGGAATACAACCCCATTGAGGAAGCAGGCACATTCAGCTGATGAGTCCCAAATGCCGACAAGTTATTAAGGTGGCTAACAGTTAAAAGGTATGTATATTTGTTGCAAGAGAACGAGAATAAATTACTAAATGAACTGTCAAAATCGATTGCAAAGTAAAATTAAAGGCGAACTAAACCAATTAATCAGGTGGTTAAAATTACAATAGTTTGTAAAAAGGGAAGAAAAGTGGAAATGGAATGTTACCACTTAAAATCCATTTGAATTTCTATGCAGTTGGCACTGAGCCACATCTATGGTGTTAGCGACAGCGATTATTACTTTTGTTCCTGGTAGAACATAGGGATTCACCAGCGCATTCCTATCTCATCCTGTTCTTTGCAGCCTTCTTCGCTAGGCCCCACGATTGCCCATAAGTTCCCGTGTCATCCTCGGACCCACGCCCAACTGATGGTTTGCCATTCGGGTCCCACTCCATCAGTGGCCTGGTGGGCGATATTACCAGACGGTCTCCTCAGTGTGTATCTGAGCCATCTTCAGTTTCTTCAGAATATTTGTTAAATGACAGCTTCTTGACTGGTTCATTCCCGGAGTCTTTTTTCGCTAATTCTTTCTGGCTGGACATTTGATCTTCAGTATGGAGCCGACGAAGGCACTTGTTGATAAAGGTCTGCAGCCAGCCGTTCAGAATGATTTTCGTGACGCGAACGCAAAGTTTCTGGCCCATACAGAAGAAATAACTGACTTGGTATTGGTGTTAAAAATCCAAATTTTATTCTTTATGATGAATGAGTGCAGCAGGTTCCCAAAATGATTTCAGAGGGATGAAGGTCTGCTTCGCCTTTTCGATTCTGGCTGGTTTTGAAATCCTTTTCCATACTATCACCTGTGGTTGAAACGACGCTTCCCAGATAAATGAAGGAAATGGGCTGCTTCAAATTCCTTCCATCGGTAGTGATTGGTGCTTTTTGTTATTGTTAGGTGGTTACTTTCACCACCTGCGTCTTTTCTATGTTCACTCGAAGTACTGTCTTCGCTGTTAGCCCCTTCTACCAACTAGTTGGTTTCCGCCTATAATTTCTCAAGTTCCTTTGATATTAGACAAAAATCGTCCGCAAATTTCAGATCTTCTAGAGTCTTTTTACCTGTTCAGCGTATCACTGCCTTCTCACTCCCCACTCATGGTGCTCCGCGAAATCCAGTCCACCACAATTAGGAATATCATAGACAGAGATGCTACCTGGATATCTAAACCTGCTTGCATGGAGTGGGGTTCAAACCCATAATTTAATGGCTGAGTGTCGAGTGCTTAGACTAATAGGCCATAATTATCACACTTATCTGAAAATGGCCAAAGTAAATAAAAATGGTGGCTGTGTGAACTACATCTAATCCCGAAGATTCGGCTTATCCAGGTGCATTTCGATGACTTTCAGCTTCATTCAAAAGACAAACTCCTTAAGCTAAATTAAAAATAGTAGAAATGCGATAAATAACCACAATATGGGCTGCGATATGCCTACTGATTGACTTCGTTAGCCCTTAGCGTAACTATATATAATGATGTTTGGGATTCCGACGATGAACAAGCCCAATTTGTAAGCCTGATTTATTCTTCATATTTCTCAATATACAAACTATACATTATGTAATCACCTGTTTTCTAATTTGCATAATTATTTCTATCCTTTAACTTTCATCCTAATTTTGCCAGCTAATGATCACCCTATCGACTAATTTGGTAGTGACAGATGTTTGTTAGCACACTAAATTGGTAAATTATATTGTATCGTTTTCAACAAAATGCTCTGTGTATTAGTCAGATATTGGGGTTTCTCAAGGGTTTGAATTAATGCCAACATAGATTTCGTAATGAACAAATATAAGTTAGAGAATTATTATAAAGCAAGCGGGATTGAATAGCTACTTCAGCCTGGCTTGAAACTCTTCATCAGTGCACACCTGTAATCAAGGATCGAGCATGGGGTGTTTTGCTTACGGGGCGAGCCCACTGACCGTTTGGCTACTGGGTGGGGATTTAGTTGCCATGATATAATGCCACCAACAATCACTACCACAGATGAGCTGTTCAACACTTCCTGGATTTCAGTGATTCTGTAACTGGTGTTTTTTTCTTCTCTTCCTTCACGTTCCCAGTGGAGCATAGGGCTTATAGCCTCTAGCTTGAAGTTTCTGTAGCAGTGTTTATTTTTACAGGATGAGGTTGCTAACCTCATGCCCAACCTTCCCTCTCTGCCAGTTCTATTACTGGCTTAGCGGGGTAAAGGAATGAATCGGCCGGAGATAGAACCCCGGACCATGTGCACGGTCGACGAGCGTCCTAACTGATGTGGCACCTATGCACTTTAACTGGTGTTGGTTCGTTGAAATGTGTATTAGTGCAGAGTCATTGACAAAAATCCAACTAAAACTTAAAGGTTTCGCCGTACAACCTGATATTTTCTAAATATATACGAACCATAGTAGGTTTCAACAGCAAACTAAAACCAACTGAAAAGTCACTGAAATCGAAGAAGCGATCGACGGCAAATCAATTCTAGTTCCAAACTCTTGAATAGTTCTAGTAGACAGCACCGTACTGACTCCAGTCCGAAATCAAGAGTTCATAAGACAAGATAGTTGAGATTTATCAGCAGACCACAATTTCTAGATTCTGTCAATACATGAAAGCATAATCCAATGTGATAGGTGAACATTTGCTCCCATAGCCTACTTCTCTGGAGAAAGTATGATTTGTCTACAATAGTTACTGTTAAAGTCACCTGTTGTCTGATGATTCAACTGAATATGACTGAATATGAATGATTTTGCTGACACGTTAGGTGAAAGATTTAATGAATCTTATTTGCATGTTATGAATAACTGAAGAATTACAAAGCAGCGAATTTCAGCAGTTACTTTGCTAAAAGAACTCTTCTTAAGTTAATCTTCTGGTTTAATTTAATTTTAGATTTTCCCATCGATTGATTGGTCTCAGGTTGACATGTCGGCTTCTTGTGCAGATGCTTCGACAATTCCTGGGGCATGTAATTAGAATTTAATTGGTGGATGTTCCAAATCAATAAAATC